CTGGGGAATTCTGGGAGTTGAAGTCCACACATCTTCAAGCTGTCATGGTTGAGAAACACTGTTCTACTTACCATCTACAGTAATCTGAATTGATAATGTTTTCTTACCTTTCCTTTTTCTTTGGCATTGTGTCTATCCAGATGGGCTTGAATGCCTTTACCATAATCAGGATGAACATCCATAAAGTTTTTCACCTAGATTGAGAAAGGAAATTGAGGTCATTTGTCTCTTTTCCTAATCCCTGTACTGATGAGGATAAGCCAACTGCTATTGGCAAAGAGATCTAAAATTTCAGTACATCTGGACTATACTTATTTCAACTACTGATATGGCAAGAGTACTATTTTTCAATTTATCACATATAACTGTACAACTATTCAGGCTATAACTGACTAAAAGCTGAAAGTTAATTTTACAAGAAAAAAATATTATTTTTCTATGTTACATCAAACCAAGGAAATGCTAAACATCTAAATCTGACTTTAAAATAGTAAGGGGTTAGTTTTCTACCCAAAGTAAATTAATATATATTTAATACTAAAGTGAAATATATTTAATACTAAACATGATCTGGACTGCAAGCTAACTTTTAGCAGTTTTCAAATATAAAATGTTCAAAATGCTCCACCAGAACAATTGTAAGAAGGATTATTCAGAAGAAGACTTCAGAAAAACCTTAAAACTTCAATCCAAATCAACTGCTGCTGAAGCTAATTAATTTCATCTACAAAGTGAAGGTTCACTAATCGAGGAGCTTCGCAGTTTGGTATCACTGAGTACAAGGCTCACTACCACAAACTTTTCTAGGAAAAGAAACTGGCAAATCAAGAGTCATCCTCTGGGCTACACATGGACTGCCTGACCCATTACATAACAAGGCTTAAATGGAAGAAGCATGTTGAATTTCATAGAAATCAACACGAACTTTTCAGCAACATGCTTCTCAAGTATTTTTTTGAAATCTGTAGATGTAAATTTATTTGTATAAAAATAAGTTATATTTAGTTAATTAATACATATAAATATATGTATATATGGAAGAGGGATTTAAGATGGTGACGTGGTTATAATTCTTGTAACAAGCTCCTCCCAAAAATCTTTCATTCTGAGGAAGCCAGCCTACTTTTAACTCAGTGCAGGCAAGAAGGTAGTAGCACTTTAATACACAAAAGTAAAATTCCCCACTCAGACAACTTCAAGGACATCTTATTAATAGAGCCTCTGTGAAGGAGAACTTTAAGCAAACAACTTGTACAATCCACAGCAACACAGCTGTCTAATGAACCACTAGAAGGAAGTCTGATTAACTCTTTTAGTGCTTTGTTGTTTACACACCACGCTGACATCATTAAAAGATTAGATGATCTGAGAGAAGTTTTAATGACAATTTGTAAAACAGCCAAGTCACTAATAAATTTGGCTTTACTAACTACCCAGGACAGTCACTCTCACCTTGGGGAACAACGTGATTGTACTACTGAGGAGGAGCAACCTATTTGGATTCTCACAGCTGCCATGAAGAATTCAGATCCACAAAATCTCAATGCTGAGCTTGATGTGGAGGACTTCTCCATTTTTATTCATGTTTTAATAGTCCTCCAAAACAACCAGAATTTTCAAAATTTAAAACATCTACAGCTGCTCATCTTAAGGATCAGGCTTATGGTAATTTCAGGTCTGAATCT